TTGCCACAGTGAACAAGCTGCAGGAGGCTTTTCAGGAGCAGTGCAACCTCAGAGGTAACACTAGTACTTGTGTTAAATTAGGACAGTAGTGTTACATATTTGTAACTAGTCCAAGATGATGTCACTTCATTTCTGTAGGAAGTATCCCCAATTACTTTTCTTTTTTTGCTGCTTACTGTTCGTGTCCTGTCTATGACACAACAAAACTCAGGTTACAGTATGGCCCATACAAGAATAATGACGCAAATCTCTATTTTCTCATGACTAGTCGAGAATGAGACGCTGAAGAGCAACATGACAATCTTGCAGCAACAGAGTATCAGAGCAGCAGAGGTAACGTTTGAATTGAGTGAAACTGGGCTTGATTATGGTCATTGATATTGATGGCTTTGTGATTTTTTTTTTTTTGGAACAGATAAAAATATGTGTGGCTGTGTGATGTATCTTGTTTTTCAATCAACAGGATAAGGAGGCTGAGATCCAACGACTGCACGGGACTGGGCTTGATTATGGTCATTGATGTTGATGGCTTTGTGATTTTTTTTTTTGAACTGATAACAATATGTGTGGTTGTGTGATGTATCTTGTTTTTCAATCATCAGGATAAGGAGGCTGAGATCCAACGACTGCACGGGGAAATGAAAGCACACAAAGACAACCACCAGAGGGCGCTAGACACTGCCATTCAAGATTGCAAGGGGCAGGTTGAGGGGGCCCACAAAGAAGCTTTGGGTCAAAGTAAGAGCAGTCATCATTACTCGCACATGATTGAATTGGTTTCATTTTAAACTTTATTTTTTAATTTCTTAAATTCACATTGTGAATAGCACCAAACTGTATTTTTGTTGTTGTTGTCCATAAACATTTTCAGTGTGGCAAGTTCAATTGAAAAAAAATATTTGGGCGGCATGTGTCTTATTGCAGTACAAGCCAAAGAGGCTGAAGTTTTGAAGTTACTGGCTCAAAAGGATCTGGATCTGGAGGAGATGAACAGGAAGCTGAAGGACCAGGAGAGAAAACAGCAAAGCGAGCTTCTGAAGCTGCAAATTGAGGTCCATTACATTTTGGTTCTCCGTCGGTGCTGCTGTTTGTTTTTAGTTTTTCGGACCAGCATCCAAAGTAATAAATACAGATCCAAAGCAGCAGGCACTAGTGCATAATCTATGTAGAACATTGGTCGACTCGTCAAGTCTTTCTAAAGTAGGAAGAAAAACTTCAGGAGCGGTTACCCGGACTACCTCACGGATTTCGCCTACCGCCGATTGCAGTTGTATGATTTGGTGCAATGGCAGCGATGCTATTCTACTCATTATAAGGCAGTGTATCGTCAAAATGTTGCTTTAAAGTTGAGCAATGGAGAACTTCTGTCATGCCTTGGTTTTGAATGATGTCGCTTCATATGTGCCAAGCGTATTTTATTTTGTAGTTTGGTGAAAAGTTGGGGAGAATGCAGAATACTGCTCAGATGAGCCAGCAGCAGCAACAGCAACACGACTCCGTGATATCCGCACAAAATTTCTTCAAGAGGGTGAGCGCGTATTTTTGTGATTCTGCTGAGAGAGCGACATTCAGGTTCCCACGCAGTGATTGATTGGCCCTTTAGTCAACTCTTGCCTGTTTGTTTTGACTGTGCTTGTTTGTCCGTCAGAAGCTGCAGTTCATGCAGGAAGAAAAGAACAAGGAGATTGAGGCTCTACGTCAGAGAGTCAAAGAGCTGGAGGACAGTCAACGTGTTGCCAGCCTCTGCAGCCGTTCAAAGAAAAGAAGAACCTAAATTGTTTTAAGCGCTAGTAGGAGGCTGCTGCCCTGTCACTTCCGAAGGTTCAAGCAACACCGCGCAACTGCGAGTGTCCTGGGTGTTAACATTTCCGGATTCGTTGAATTCCGGTATTTGACTTTCTCACGGGGTCATCCAACAGGATCATCGTCTCCAATGCACTGTGTCCTGTCATACCTCGATTTGCTGTTTGACTGCCAAGCTGGCAGGTGACCAGTGCACTGAGATCGCAGTTCAACACAGGCTGTATTCCTGCCTAAGGCTTTAATCCAATCAGACATCTCAATCGGTGGAGGGCAGGCAGGAGGAGCACTAAGTCGAAAAACACGAGACCGATTGCCGTTCAACAAACCAACTCTGTTGATCTTTTCTACAGTTAATTCACGTCCACTTGTTGAATGATTAATTTCTTGGAGTTAGCTCAACTCGAAACGGGCCCCCGGGCCTTGAGTTTGCCACACGTGGTTTACAGGGTGAACACGATCGAAAATGGACGTATGGATGCATAGTTCAACTCATCGTGATATTTTTATGATGATATTCGATCCTTTCTGCTATTGTGCTTGTCCTCATTGAGGTTGCAGGTGAGCTAGAAAGAAGCAGGGAACACCCGAGACTGGTTGCCAGCCAGTAGCGAAGATGCTTTATTTGTCTTTTTCTAATTCACCTTTCCAGGAATTCAGACGCTTGAGAGTCGAGGTGTGCCCGCTTTACTGCTCGCCGTGTCGGAACACCTGAATGGAGAAGCTCCTCCTGGTGAAGCTTTGACACGACGCTTTGTAATCTCATTATCTGTGCTACTCAGACGAGCGTTTGAGAGGGAGCCCAGCACTAATCTCACCAGGAACATTTTGTAAGAAGGTTGCGTAACGTTTCATCTCCCAAAAGCGAGTAGATCACTTGTCGCCACATGCGACACAGCCACGCGCGACACACAGAAAGCATCCACAATTCACCGCTATCACATTTGCCGTGAATGCGGTCGCGCCTCATTTTTTGTTTGTTGTTGTGAGCTGATATCAGCCTTTTTCGAGGGTTGGGACAAACTGAAAGAGCACTCAAGTTCATGACCCCAGAATTAAAACATCTTCCCTCAATGAGGCAAAAAGCGAACGGATGGGTGGAGCTGAGGGGTGTGGCCTGAGAAGCCTTCCTCCTCATCAGAGTTTTGTCGTCCATCGGAGCGTTGTGATGGGTAACGATTCCAAGGTCGGCAGTTCGTGTTACCCCCCCAAAATGGACATCGCAGCTGTGTTTTGATGCCCACCAGCAGTTTGGAAACTTGGTAAGAACATGCATCTCTTATGAAGGCTTTGCATCAATCTGCGTGTCACTGTTTGGTCATACTTATGTGTACAGCGGAAGTGTCCAAACGACAGCCTGGGGCACATTTGCGGTCTGCTGTCCATTTTTTAAGTACATACAAAAAATAGCTTTGATAATAACAAATGGGTTACATAGAGAGAAAGAGACGTATCGACGTGCAGTATTTGTGCGCAAGTCTGGTGCACAAATATTTATATTCATTGCGAAAGTAGCAACAGACTCGCCGAAGTTCATGAAGGAGATTGGCGCGCACAAAGTACATTTAGTCATACACTGTACTTGGTCACAAAACTTATCCTGTACGCTCCTTTTTACTTTTTGCAGTGATTCACTCTTGATTTAGAAGTTGTTGGCTCTACTCTTTACAATTGACTATGATGGGTTTGCAGATGAAAGCATCACCAAAGATGCCTGCAGGACAGATCCAGGTAGCCAGCCCCAAACTCCACCACAGCCTTTACAGCCTGACCGACAGCTCAGACCCCGAACCGGAGGGTGAGGAAGCAGATGGCCCGCTGTGCCTTACCCCGCTGCAGAAGCTCACGATGGACATGCACAAGGACGACCGAACCATCAAGGAACTGGTCATCGGCCGCAGGGTCGGCTTCTACAAAGTCAGAGGAGAGATTGGCCACGGGACCTTCTCCAGAGTCAAACTGGCTTTTCATGCGCTCACAAAAGGTACCCATCAACAGTGATCTCAATGTTGTGAGTTTGTGATGTACTCTATACGGTACTGGGAGTGCTTTGACACTGTCTTCTCAATGATGACACCGCATCGGTAGCAAGTGCAGCTTCAATATCTTGTTTAAGGACGCTTCAATGTGGTGTGTTTGAAGTCTCATCACTTGTCCTTCCAGATAAAGTGGCCCTTAAAATCCTGGACAAGACGAGATTTGACAACCAGGCCCAGCGACTTCTCTCCAGGGAAGTCGGCAGCATGAACTCCTTGCAGCACCCCAACGTGATCCGTCTCTATGAAGTCGTGGAGATGCCGAGCCGCCTCTACCTGGTGCTGGAGTACGCCGGTGGCGGAGACCTCCACAACAAGATTTGCAATGAGGGAAAACTTGCCGACAACACCAGCAAGATCACATTCTCCCAGATTCTCTCAGCCATTAAATATATGGTGAGTCGGTGCAGTGAGCATGACTCACCATTGTTCGAGATATTTGACTTTCAGATCAAACGTAAGCGCGAACATGAAATTACACGACGGTCCAACCTCGTTACGGCGGTTAGCTTCCCACGGTTTGTCGTAATAAAATTCTCACCCTTCAAAAATAAAAGCAGCTGTCATGATTTTCCTTGCAGCACAACAATAACATCGTCCACCGAGACCTGAAGGCCGAAAATGTTCTGTTCACCGCCAGCGGCTGCGTGAAGGTGGCAGACTTTGGATTCAGCACGCAGGTTTCCAAGCGCAGCGATACGCTGGACACCTTCTGCGGCTCGCCCCCGTATGCCGCCCCGGAGCTCTTCAGGGACGAGTGCTACCTGGGCCCTCCCGTGGACGTGTGGGCAATGGGGGTCCTCCTTTTCTTCATGGTGACCGGCACCATGCCGTTTCGTGCCGAAACCATGGGCAAGCTGAGGCGATGCGTCATCCAGGGCACCTACAGTATCCCCCCCTGGGTTCCCGGCCCCTGTCAGAGGCTCATCAGGGGCATCTTAAAGGCAGATCCCCTTGAGCGTTGTGCCGTTGACCAGATGCTGGGTTGCGATTGGCTATTGCCTGTGGAATTCCCATGGTCCTTGGCATCTCCGGAACCAGCCAGCCCACTGCAAGGCCTGTCGGATTCGGAAAGTAGAGACCTTGTGGAGGAGGAGGAGACGGAGGAGGTCAGGTGCTCCCTGGAGAAGCTGGGGTTTACCTCGGCACACCTGCTGAACAATCATTTGAATAACTGCCGCAGCCCCCTTACGGGGGTCTATCGAATCCTGCTGCACCGGGCGCAAAGGAGGAGGGGCTGTGACAGTCTGCCGGTGGTTCGAGGGATGGTGAGGGACCCCAAGCGGGAGGGACTTCGAGCATACCGGGGCCTCAGGCACACCTCCAAACTCTGCGTGCTTTCATAATATAAAGATCTCCGTTCAGCGGATCTTTGGACTGATACCAGTTTTGTGTTTCTGTTGATTTCAATCGTTTTTCTACAGACCCGCCCAAAGGTATTGCAACGGCACGGTCAATTCCTCTGGTTTTGTTCTACGCCGAAAGCACTTGGGTTTCACATCAAATATGAATTTGAGACAAAAGTTCAGAATTCGAGGTTTTAATCCCTGGGATTCACATCTCGATGTGTTAAACGACTCTTATTCAAAAATGTCCCCATAAGGTTTTTTTGGGGGGGATAACTTACAATACAATACAAGAGATGTGCATTTTCTAATTCTCTGTTTCCTTGATTCCACATCCTCTCCGATGTTGCTGTATTTTTACTTGTTTTTAAGTCAATATATCTAAAAAATACAAGGTCCACCCCGGTGTGTTTTTCATCGCGTGGTCATCAGCCCCTATCCCACTCAGGGGCGAACAATTCCCAGTGTTTTTGAAGGCAGTGAATTTTGCATTCACGTCAGAGTTTGCCAGGGTTCGTTCAAGGTCGCCAACAAGAACAAATAACAATAAAACTGTTGACAAAGGATTCGTGGTCATTCGCGACCTTCAACGAACCCTGACGAACTCTGCCGTGAAGGCAACATTTTTGTACCTTCGCCAACAGCCGCAATTGCTGTCAATGGAGTTGTCATGTTGCAACTTGCAAGGTGGTGGACCCCAAAAAGCAGGCAGGTTGAGAGGAGCAGGGTGTACCTGACAAATTGTATTAAAACATAGAGAAAACTAAATCCAAAACAAACACAGTCCAAAGTATCAAAACAAAAATCACGACTGAAGCTAAAACATAACAGTAACTGAAACATGACTGAAAGAAATCTGATAGCAGCAAACAAACAAACAAACATGACAGTAGCAAACAGCAACAATGACCCGACAATGAGTGGTCGGGTGGGAGTCCCTTTTATACAACTAATTACCTAACAACCAACAGGTGTGCAGCTGCAGGGGGAGTCCTACAGTGCCACCTGTTGGTCCCAAACCAAATCGTGACAGGGGTCGGCGCTTTGAGATTTGATGAAGAGCCTTGTCAAACTGCATACGACATGAATTCGAACATGGATTTAATTTGATTTGATTTACGCTGGCATATAATAATCATTTGGGTCCATATATGAGTGCTAAAATAATATCATTGGTTCTGTGAATTTCTTAAAAGGAATTCTTTTACATGTGTGGTTTGATTGGTATTCATGAATTAGTTTAGCTTGGAAACAACGCATAGGAGCTGAAAAATAGTCGTACACCTCTTCATTGATATCTCCATCCCATCCATTTTCAACACCGCGTATCCTGAACAGGATCATGGGGAGTTGCTGAATGAGGGTCAATGTGGGGCGTATACCTGACGCAAACGGTGTTCAAACGGGGGTCTTCGTATGGCCTGTTTACCAAAGTTTCAGCAAGTTCCTGCGAGTCAACAATTGTCCCAACCGCAGCTGGCAGGACACCAGATGCTGCGCGGTCGGGACCCCTCTCTTTTTCACGACCGGCCCAAACCAGCTCGAGCCAAACCCAATGCCCCCCAGCCCCGAGCAGAGCACATTAAAGCCTCTGCTCCTCCCCTCTCAGCCATGCCCTGGCCGACCCCCTCCTGCAGGAACAGCAGATGGCGTAGCGTGGCTGTGGAGACATCTGCAGGGCAGACAATAGGGGCTCTGTCTGGGTTGCTGGATCTGACAGGCCCGGAGCTGCTCTATTGTGTCTTTACACATGCAGATTAGATGAGTGGTGAGGGAGGGGTGTGTTTTTTTTTTTCATGTCTTGTGCTGAAGGGGGGGCAACAGTGAGCAGATGACAGACCAGAGCCCCCCTTTCAGACAAGTTTCTAACTTTATCGGAAAAAAAGCCCTTCACTCCTCCTCTCTGAGACCTTACTCTGTCCTCCAAGGGAAAGGAAAACACACAAGCCCATATTGTAATTTAAGGTGATTTTTTTTATTAAGATTTACCACACTAATTTTCCAAACATTATCGTAAGTTTTTTTTTCTTTTGCATTTTCTTTTCAAGTGACATATGCTTAAGTACAATTGTTTAATATTTAGCGTTCATTGAATTCAGCCGTATCCTAAAGTGAAACCTTTAGGGAACAGGCATGGGTTCTTTTTTTTTTTTTTCAATATTTATCTTTTTTTTTTTCCGCATTGTTAAACTTCTAAAGTGAAACCTTTAGAGAATTAAGACCATTCTGGAAAGTGGGAAACATTTTGGCCGACTGCAACTGTTGTGGTGTTGCTCGGCCAAGAGGCCGTGGTTAAAAAGTCCCTTTTTAACAAGTCCTCTTCCTTCAGCACCGCTTCTTCTCCTGCTGCGCGTGCTTGGACGAGCGACACGTGCTCCTCCGCGTGAAAGCGCGGCACGCACGCACGCGCCGCTTCTCCTTCCTCTCCAAACCTCATCCGCACAAAGAATGAGGGTCGATGCGTCGCTCTTGAGGCATACCTGACCTCATTCGCACAAAGAATGAGAGTCATCTTGGCATGGACGGGACAAGAGGCGACGTTCGCGCGAGGGCCCCTCGGGCCGGCGCCGCGCCGCCCGGATTGGAAATCCTCCTCAGGAGTATCCGGGGATGAGCCAGGACGGCCTCATCCGGCGCATCAGGATGAGCATTTCCCATCGACGGGAAGCTTCACAGAGAGGAGCCCGATCCCGCGTCAGCGTCCGGGGAGGCTGACCTCGGGGACCCAGTCGTTCAGACGCCGGCTCTCCTCGCAGAACAGGTGCAGCTTCTCTAGAGAGGGGTCCTCCCAAGCCCCGTCCGCCGGGTTCTGCTTAGGCAAGAACAGGAGACGGAATTCAGACGCCTGCTCCCGTTTCACCCAAAAGTTTTGCAGCCGACTGATGAGCTGTACCAACCGTGATGAGGACGCAGTGAGCATCTTCGAGCTGCTCCGGCTTGTCGGCAACAATCTCAGCCAGACGCTGCAAGTCGCTCACTCGGACGATGCTGATGTCGTTGTCGAAGCAGAAGGACTGGATGAGGGTGAAGTGGATCTGCAAAGCGATGTCACACTCGAAACCCTCATCCACGGCCAGCACGCAGAAGGACACGCTGTCCGGGTCGCTGTTAAAGCAAACGGGGCAGACAGTGAACCACCGTCTCCAAATGTCCTCGGAAGTTTTTGCAAAGTTGCCGGTCGCTAAAATACTTACAGATTCATCACTTTTGCGCACTCGTACACTCCCACGGTGAGGGCGTCGTTGTCCATGGCGGTAACCAGCACCTCTTCCAGGGCTTTGCCGGTGCAATGTGCACGCTCGGCCTCGGTGGATTTCTGCCTCAGAACTTCCTCAAGAGTCATGACGATGAATGACGATGATGAGTTTCCTGACAAGCTCGAGTATCTAAGAAAAGTTGCGTGGAGTAGATCCGCAGAAAGAGCAGTGCCCTCGGAGGAGAGGCTTGCCCCTTTTATACAGAGCCGCTCGTGCGAGGCTTTGAATGAGCTGCTCCCTGATTGGCCGCAGCAGCGTGTATTGGTATGATAATGCCATTGTCACACTTCTGGCTCGTGGCAGATTGATGGTGGTCATCGAGCCACGCACGCTCCCCCTCCGGGATGCGGCAGCCTGGCCTGAATCTAAAAATAGCCCAATTTAGGCACGCAAAAAAACCAAAAAAACAAAAAACAAAGCGTGCTGCTTCTTTTGTGCAACTTACAAAAGAAGGACCACGTGACGACGGTTCGGTGAATTCCATGTGAAAGATTTCTTGCAGACACGCATCGTTCACGTCAAAAAAAGATGATGCAAAAACGAAGCTTTTGAGGAATCCTCCTCAGAAGTAGAAAGACAAACATAAAGCTTCGTTTGCCTAATTTTTTTTAGGAGCAGCGTAGAGAAAGTGTGCAAATCCAAAACCCCACCCCACCCAGCAGCCCACGCACATGAGGGCAGGTGGACGCTGCCATCTGTGGACTCGGGGGCTGGGCTGGCCATAAAGCAGCCCTTTTGTGTGTGCAGAAAAGCCTTCTATTATCACAGTGCCCATACAAATGCAAATGAGCAGCGCGTGCCAGAACGTTGTGCGTGCTGCTGCTGCTGCAGGGGTCACGCAGACCACGTGATCATCAGCTGTGCCTCCCCTCCCAAAAAACAACAAAAACTTTGCCGGTTTGTTATTTCATTATTATTATTTCATCCCACATAGGGAAAACCTTCAAGTTGCAAACTTTTGAAGGAAAGTTGCTCACTTCTCAGCAAAATGTTTTTTTTTTATTTTTGTGTGGAGTTCATGTCATTCGAATTTGGGTTACTGTATTGCCGCATACTCATTTCAATCCCATTGCTCGCATTTAAAAAATATATGCGCGTGCGTCATGATCCAAAACGTCATCAGGCGTGCTCAAACTTTTGAAGGAAAGTTGCTCACTTCTCAGCAAAATGTTTTTTAATTTTTGTGTGAGTTCATGTCATTCGAATTTGGATGACTGTATTGCCGCATACTCATTTCAATCCCATTGCTCGCATTTAAAAAAATATATGCGCGTGCGTCATGATCCGAAACGTCATCAGGCGTGCTGCCATTGCTCAAGAGGAGGGATGCTCGCTCCATTGTGCAATTGAAGTCAAAACGGCAGATGGAGAAGTGTCGCGATGGGCCCCCGAACTCCCCCCTTCCTAAACCCAGGTCAAACCCCACCCGGGGCGCCGCACGCACCTTTTGTCCACAAGTTTGCTGCCCCGTCTGAGTTGCGATTCAATTTGAATGCCAAAGAGGCCACAGTCAGTTTGCTGCATGTCCAGACTTTTACAATGCAAAGTGCCGGACCTGTCATGGGCGCACAAACGCGGTGATAAAATCGCCCGCATGTGTGTACACTGTCAACATATACGTAAAAGAAGGTTGAGCGTGTGTTTTCTGCGACAACAGGCGCTTATCGGGACATTATTGCAGCAACAAAAAGTGTTTACTTGCAAACTTGCACCTTTCACTTTCTGTCCCGCTTGTGCGCTCGTCGTTGCGAGTTGGCGCAGGCTTCCAGACGCTCAGTCAAACACATGCTGGGGGCTATTTGAGCATTTGATGGCCACGCAGCCACGGGTCTGGCGCGTGCAAATCGATACGATCCTTTGTGGCTTGCGGCACATCTGCTTTTCTCGGATGCTTCGACCGGCAGTAGCGCGACAGGTGTTGGTTTGGGGATGAGCCGCCGAACTACGGTGACCCACTGCAACTCCCCGCGCTCATTGGATAATAATTAGAATTATCTACAGTTGAGAACAAAAGTTAAAAAAAAAAGACGTTCGGAAGCGTTTAACGATCCTGATCTGCACTACAGCACCCTTTGATGATCCAGACTCAACAAAGGAGTCGCACGTCTGTTGAGTATGCACTTTCTCAACTTCGTAGGTGAATGAATGTAAAAGTGCCTCGTGTGCGGCCCGAGCGCGCAGCAGGTGCTGGCCGACTTCCTTTGTCCACCCTCCCCTTCACCTTCCCCAGGGGGACAGATGGCGCCGCTCGGTCGTCATGGAGATGGATGCAGACGGGGAGATAAGACTGGGAGGTATATCTCCAGATGCCACGCGCCTCGACTGCAGGTCGCTTTTTACGTATGCAAACTAGCGGCGCGTGCCGCCGCATTTCACTTATGCAAAGTACAAGCGAACACGTCCTTCGACAAGTTAAAGTCCGAGAAGTCACACTCGACATGGTTTGCTTGATGACGCAGCCACCGGCATCTTTTCTCGAAACGACTTGCCAATAAACAGACCATTCTTGTGTTAGGAGATTTTTTTTTCCTTTTCTTTGACTCTTTGAATGCTGCAACACTGCATGAACAATATGAATTGTATATTGCTTTTACAAATGTGTTAAGACGCACAGCCCTGGCGTCCAAAAAGCATCTAAAGTTACTATGACTTGAAAACTTGAGTTGATTTGGCCATCACGCTGCCTACACTGGAATGTGGGCAAGTGGAATGATGTGAGGTGTCGTTTCTCCTCAAAGCAATAAGAGTGAAATTGTTACTCACAATGAGGACTTCAGAGATGCATGCATCCAATTGCACCTGCAACATGACTCACTTCTGCGTGGTGCCTTCATCATGAAGAGGGCATGCCAATTTAAAGTTACACTTGTATTTTCTTTATGACAGCTAATCATGTTCAAATATTTCTTTTAAAAAAAATCCCTGCAGTCGATGAAGGCATGATGACCCTAAAATGGATTATTAGTGTCGTCCAAGTTTTCCCATCAGATTTATCAAACATTTATACATCAAGTCATCTAAAAATGTCATTCAGAATTGACTGTTTAAACATCCGCAACCTCCACCTTGATTTTTTTTTTTTTTTTTAAAGTCAGAGCTTCGACAAAAGGGTTTCTCTCTTGTGTGGTTTCATTATTCCAAAATAATCTAAAGGTCAAAAAGTCTCTCCATCTGATCCTTTCAATCAAAGGATGCTGCCCGGACGGACTTTGGAAGAGTTCTAAAGGCACACGTCCCAGAGGCAGGCGGAGGGCAGCGGGTCTGTTGTAGCCATTGTGCACCACAGAGCCAATCAGACACTCGGCGTGTGCCGGCACCGTATAAAAGGCTGCGGCGTGTTTGAGAGAAGCAAAAACCGCTCATCATCGACTGAACTGTCTTGGAAAGAACCTCACCAAAATGCAGTCTCCTGGAAAATCTCTGAAGGAAGCCCTGCTCTGTGCTCAGAGCGAGGCTCGACTCACCGTTGGAGTCTATGAAAGTGCCAAAATAATGACTGAGTGAGTTGGAGTCGCTTTCAGTGAACGTCTCAGATTGTATTTCGAATCACCCTATCAGTTGAAACAGCCAACCGTCTGTGTTTTTGTTCAATGCTTTAACAGCGACCCGGACAGCGTGTCCTTCTGCGTGCTGGCCGTGGATGAGGGTTTCGAGTGTGACATCGCTTTGCAGATCCACTTCACCCTCATCCAGTCCTTCTGCTTCGACAACGACATCAGCATCGTCCGAGTGAGCGACTTGCAGCGTCTGGCTGAGATTGTTGCCGACAAGCCGGAGCAGCTCGAAGATGCTCACTGCGTCCTCATCACGGTTGGTACAGCTCATCAGTCGGCTGCAAAACTTGCTGACGCGGGATCGGGCTCCTCTCTGTGAAGCTTCCCGTCGATGGGAAACGTTCATCCCGATGCGCCGGATGAGGCCGTCCTGAGGAGGACTCCCAATCCGGGCGGCGCGGCGCCGGCCCGAGGGGGGCCCCCCGCGCCACCGTCGCCTCTTGTCCCGTCCATGCCAAGATGACTCTCATTCTTTGTGCGAATGAGGTCAGGTATGCCTCAAGAGCGACGCATCGACCCTCATTCTTTGTGCGGATGAGGTTTGGAGAGGAAGGAGAAGCGGCGCGTGCGTGCGTGCCGCGCTTTCACGCGGAGGAGCACGTGTCGCTCGTCCAAGCACGCGCAGCAGGAGAAGAAGCGGTGCTGAAGGAAGAGGACTTGTTAAAAAGGGACTTTTTAACCACGGCCTCTTGGCCGAGCAACACCACAACAGTTGCAGTCGGCCAAAATGTTTCCCACTTTCCAGAATGGTCTTAATTCTCTAAAGGTTTCACTTTAGAAGTTTAACAATGACAAAAAAAAAAAAAAGATAAATATTGGAAAAAAAAAAGAACCCATGCCTGTTCCCTAAAGGTTTCACTTTAGGATACGGCTGAATTCAATGAACGCTAAATATTAAAGAATTGTACTTCAGCGTATGTCACTTGAAAAGAAAATCCAAAAGAAAAAAAAAATCAGATATCATTGGAAAATGAGTGTGTTAAATCTGAATAAAAAAGTTGGACTTGGCACGCGTGCTTTATTTTCTCTGTTGCAAGTAGTCCTTTGCCACTTTGAATTCACACTCCAAAGCCAAACTGACCTTGGAGCATTGTGTCACCATTGCCGAGTCAACAGCTGCTGTCGTCTCCACGCCCCACCGTCACACACAAAGCAGGACCAGCTGAAACGCAATCAGCACTTTCAATCTCCTCGGCAACCCACCCGGCACTCACTCCATCTGCTTTTCACTTTAATGAGCAGAAGAAGGAGAGGCTGGATGAAGAGCAGTGACGACCAAGGCTCGGGCAATTCATCCATATACGTGGATGTTGTTTGAGGAACATGAACGCACCTCCGATCTCGTACCGTGGTTATTCATGTCAATGTTTCCCCATCCTACCCACTTTCAACACATTTCAACTCAGCGCCCGCTTTCATGCTGTCCATTCGCGCGGCTCTCCACGTAACAGGCGTGTTGGCTTCAAGTCTTGCTCTTTGCAAACGTTCCCATCTGCCCTCTTCCTCAACCGGGTCCGTCGACGAGGTCTGCTGCTGCAGCCGCATGCTGCTTCTCAAGTGTCCCTTCAACGTAAAAGTCGCCCCCCCCCCAAAAAAAATCTTTTCAATGTGCGAGAGAGTTGCAGCAGATGGTTCTGATGGACTGCATTCAGTGCGTGTGTGCGTGTGTGTGTGTGTGTGTGTGTGTGTGTGTGTGTGTGTGTGTGTGTGTGCGCGTGTGCGCGGCCCGCGTGGTTTCAGGCATCACTAATATATCAAATTGAATGGTTTAATTAATTATTCAAGTAAACGATTCAATGTACAAATTCTCCTCACTGCCAGTAAGCCAGCACGCACATGCTGCCACACTTAGCTTGGATTCGAATATGATTTACTTGTAGTAAAAACTCTATGTTTGGACTAGTTATATCGTTAAATGCGTTTTTTTTTTGGGGGGGGGGTTGTTTTTTGTGAATGAGAGATTTGTAGGGTGATGATGTCATCGGTAGGCGAGAGGTCGTCTGGTAACTATGCTAATATTATGATGCATCATGACTATGAAAGCACATAAGCATGCACGGAAGTGCACGTACACACACACACACACACACACACACACACACACACTTAAGCCCACACACAGCTGTTGCTGTTCCCCTGAGAGCTGCAAGGCTGGGGCCCTCAATGGTTTCTTACAGACACAGCAGCAGTGATATTACACGGACACTAATAACAGCAATTAAGCACTCGCATTTGGAATTCGAACATGTTAGAATACATGTTGGATTGTTTAAAAAGTCCTCTTCAGGATCCCCGTCATTGTCTTTTTAACATTTGATGTTATGTCCATCTGGCACAGTGCCAGTGACTAAGTCAGTTTCTCCTTTGACGTAAAACCACGATTGACATTTTGGCTTGAACGTCACATGTACTCATGTTATATCTCACAAACGTCACAATGGCTTTGCGTCGTGCGTCCGTGTTGGTGTTCGCCGCAGAAAAACATCAGGGGGCAAAATGCGCTTGTTCCGCACCTCCTCCACAGCTCCACTCGCCAAAACAAAAGTCGGACAAAAGCTCCAGCCAACACTTCTGCGCCCTCTTCAATGGGCGCAGAGAGCAGAAAAACGAGGGGAGGGGCCTCCAACAAAGGTGCATGGGGACCCTGCAGCTCTCGCCTCTTTTGTGCAAAAGAAAAGAGTGGTCCAGCAGCAGCTGCTGTGGCTGCATTGGACATTTGAGACGGTGCCTTTCACCCCAAACACAAAGTCTGGAGCGAGTGAGTGTGCAGGCTGCAGGAGGAGATGCGGGTGTGGGCGGGTTCGGGCCGGGGGCCGGGGAGCACGGGGGTCAGAGCGCACAAAACGAAAGGCACACTTTGCCAGATCAACGTGGGGCTGACTCGTCATTCGGCCAGCAGATCGACAGAAGGGGGTGGCGGGGGGGGGGGGACTTCAAGTGCAGGAGGAAGCCTTTAAAGTTGTGAGGCACATCAGTCACGGAACAAAGGAGGCCTCGAGCTTGACCATATGGATGCACGCACATCATCTGTTCTACCCCCCAAAAATCCAGTCTGAACCGATAGCAGATCATGCTTGGCCTCATCTCAACCGAGTGACAACAAGTGCGCTTTCTGATTTATGTCGCTGCCTTTCGCTAATAATCTCAACGAGTTGCTTAGCAAGGGCTGCTTTTTGAAATGTGTTTGGATTGTTGTGTAAATCTCACTGATGTGCACAATCAGAAGCCATTTCAGAATCGATTCAATTTGTTTCCTTTTGAATGCCACTTATGGCCTGGACTGCACTGTACATTGCATTGCAGTTAAAAATTCAGGAGGAGTCACTCAGTGCTCGATGCACTGACGGGTTGGGGAAGATGACACGATAAACACGATGCACTTGGATATTTGGGAGATGGCTCTAGGCTCTGTTGACTTTTTAACCTTTTTCCTCTGAGTTAATTCTGTTCACGGTGTATGACACAAAATGAGCTGCAGGTCACACATCCATTCAATACCCAACTCATTCAAGATGCACACACTTTCTTTACTTAATTGAAAAATGTATCCTGCAATATTTTTGTCATTATGTGTTGGTTTCCCTTTTACCCCTGTACTAAAAATAATTCTGGGGCATCATACTAAATCCGTTCAATTAAGTTCATTTGACGCTTCACATTTCTGTTGATTGCTGGATCTTTTGCCGCCACCCAATGACGCTTTGGAGATCCTGCATGTTGGAATCGCTCAGCTGCTCTTTGGTATTATGGGATCCAATACTACCATCTTGTGGTGAAAGGTTCCTCATGCGGCATGGTTGCTATAATCTTCGTAGAACAACCCTCCTAAAATTAGCACGAAGAAAATCTCCCCAAAACACGCAATGACCTAGCCTGAAAAAAATGTGATGAATTTACTCCATGTTATTTTGTCAAGGGGCCGCGCAAAATCGAATCATCTCGATCAGGCATGTTCGTCTCCGGGCCTGGCGGGCCGCCGGCTGCCTGTTTTGCATCCCTCCCGGCTGCAACGCAGCTGATTCACATGATCAGCTCATCAGCAGCCTGCTCTGAAGCAGCTTTCAAGCAATCCTGATGATTCGATTCCGGTGTGTTGCTCCTGGGAGAGCTGGAGAGCAGGCAGGACCTTCACAACCCACTTTGGACACCCCTGATCGAGATGTTCGATATATTTTTTTGAAAGTTGGTGCATAGTCCACCTAAAAAAAATATGATGTCCTGACTGCTTTCATTAAAATTCCTGTATGCCGTACGTAATCCGTCGATGGGTTACCAAGGCATCAAATGGAATATCAGAGACACCTGGACTATTGAGTCAAGAGACAAAAAAAAAAAAAATGAAGAGGAGATATTCTGTTGTTGTGCCGTCTGGATTAAACTCAGGAAACGATGAATATTCATGTACGGATCAGAACAGAAACACTTTGTTATGGTTCGAAATCTCGAGCAGCCAAGATGATGCGCTGACTTGATGCACGCTTGTCGGTGTCTCGAAAGCTTCGCCGTGCTCCATCAATCTGCTCCTCATTTGGAGCAGGACGTGGATCATTAGCGTTCTCATTCCGCCGTTGCTGTTCGGAGTCTGATAACGCCGTCCGACGGGATCGCAGATCGCACTCGCTGCCTCGGCTTGCTTCTGAGGCTGACAAGGAGGACAATTACAGCAAGAATCGGGAGCTGGCCCCGGTTTCTATTGTGTGTCAACAGTTTGGCATGACTGCGGCATCTCGTCATCTGTCATGCGCAGGGTGTACTTTAATTCTTCATGTCTCACAATCTTCCTGCAGCTGTCAAACGTACTTTGACAGCGCAGACATGTGAATGAGTCCGGTGGGAGGCCGGAAAGAATCAACATGAATACGAAGAAGATGGTATATGCTATGCGAAGTCGAGTTTCAAGAGATTTCTGTGTGACACCAGAATGAGATGAGATCAGGCATGCCGCAACGATCAACGTAATCCATCAAAGAAAACGTGGAGCTCCGGGAGACCCCCCAGAGCGAGCTGGATCAAGCACGCCGTATGTATTCGGATATGCTCTGTCAATTGATTTTTTTTGTGAAACGTACCTCATTGTTTTGAGAAAGACTAGATGGGCTCACGGGGACGGCGGTGATTCAGCCAACGAAACAAAGTTGCTGTAAATCGCATCAAGGAAGAGGACATTCTTGGTGTCTTACTTAATGACTTTGGAACATTCATTCCGCCTTCTCTTTTTTTACAACTTTCTATTGTTATACCTCAGGTTGACTGTCATGGAAATGGAGCAGAACAGATCGGAAAAATACGGTCTTTGTCCCAAGACTTGATGAAGTCGCA